TGTGGACAGAAGAAAATCCCTATGCTGTAACCGAAACCCATTTCCAACACCAATTTTCGTTTAACTTTAATGGTCCATTCTTCTTGCCGGGACGACTTGACGGAAAGACTTACCCCAATTTTCTTCAAAAATAGTTGCCTTTGCTGCTTGATGATGTTCCGTTAGTAATAAGAAACAATATGTGGTACATGCATGATGGTGCACCAGCGCATTTCAGTGTAGCGGTTCGTAATTATTTACAAACTGTTTATCCAAATCGTTGGATTGACAGCGGTGGCCCCAAGAATGGCCACCAAGGTCCCCAGACAGTTAGATTTCTTTTTGTGGGACTATCTTGAGACCCTAGTGTACACTAGTCCCACTAACACTGTAGAGGAATTAAGAGAAAGAATAATTGCAGCTTGTGATAGAATAAAAAGCACTACAAGGATATTTCAACGAGTGTGCAATTCCATGAGAGGGAGGGTGGGAGCATGCATACTAAGTGAAGGGGGCCATTTTCAAAAATGTTTGTAATCATTTCGTTGGTTTTAATGTTGTTGTTCATTACCCCTAATGGGTTTAATTTTTCCAGTTAAATTAATAATAATTTTGCAAATTAGACAATATAACGGTTTTTATTTTTTTACTCAAAAATGGCCCATCAGAGGAAAAGAATTCAAGTAAGATCATTTGTTTTGAATTGAACTGCGAATTCAAAAATAATTTTTATTTGGCAAAAACCATTGGCGTACCTCTTTTTTCTTAAAAAATGTTGAAGTCAATACCCGTACGCACGCCACTGTTGAAGCTAAAACTTATTTTTGCATTGAAAACTATGCAGCTTTATTAACTTTCGCTACCCACTGAATATCAGTGAAATATCTGAAGCGGTTCTGAAAATATTAATTAATTTAGTTTTTTTTTTTAAAAGTTGAACACCCCGAGTTTTTGTAAGGAAACATTTTTGGACCATAGTTTATAAAGCAAACTAACATTAATTTTTCATATAGATTCACACCCTTAAATATTCGCATATCAGTAAGGAACACCTTGAATACATATTTCAATGTTATTTCCGGTGATGAAGATTATGTTTTATTTCCGGCTGTAATCTCTGCAGAACCAACTGCCAGATCCGTTCCGACATTTTGTTAAGATTGAGTAACAACCAACCATCCTCATTCTCATTTATAATATTATTTAGGATAAACAGTAATGGAATTATATTCCTCAGGGTAAACGAAAATGTTTTCCATCTAGAGATACAAAAAGTGGCTGGGTAACTTCCTTATTAAACGTCATAATTAATGTTTTGATAAAAATCGTATACAGAATAGGTTTAGGGATAAATAATAATTTGTATGTTCGGTTACGTTGCTGAACATCTCGAAAAGAACAGTCAAAAAGCCAGTTTGAATTAATCTGTTGCATTGAATGATTTTTCAGATGTGAATCAATACAAAGGGCTTAATTTTTTACTTATATTTCAGATTTGCGGTTCATTAAATAATAGACTTAAGAACAGACGTTTCCAAATTTGTGCAATTAATCCCCCATAACCCTTCTGTAGAACACTTATGCCGATAAATCATGGTTTTCTGCATAAACACTGAACGGTATTTTTTTCAGCTTTGATGTTTAAAAGAAAAATTGCCCATTAGAACTGTTCATAGCTCTTGATTTTCTCTTAAGGAATAATTCCGTTTCGAAGTTGAAGCATCTCATAGATGACAAGACTTTTTTTAGGTTTTCATTCATAAATGTCCTTTCGTTAAAAATAATTATGGATGACATGCACGAGTATGGTAGATAGTTGTTCAAATCTAGCTCACATGCATAACTTATCGATCATATTTATATTATATTATAGGGTATGTATGACGTTCGTATCTTATCTAGAATAATAGAAAAAAGTAGACATATGTGAAATCGTCACTCCACTATTCTGGAAAATATTAAGCATATCCAAAATATTGAAAGTGTTAGAGATTTCAATGAGTGTAGAAGATTATCTGTTAAAGAAGTGTCGCCGATCAAGAAGACAGCACTTTTCTGAACCGCATCCCGAACAGAATGATGATAGCAGAAACTACTTCAGAGCACTAAATACAGGATGTCCCGCGAGGTAAGGGACAAAATTTTTCTACGTGTTCCTCAGGTCAATTCAAGTGGAAAAAGTCGTATGAACAAGGGTCCGCACCTGCTTCCTTATCGAGATAACGATTTTTTTAATTTTTAGGGTGCTAATGGTGGGAAAACCACAATATTGTTGAAAAAATACTTTTATTTAACACAAAATTACTAGGTACAATAAAAATAACTATTCACAATAGTTGTTCAAAGTGTCCACCTTCACACTGTAAACATAGTCTAGCCCGTTTAATAATGTGACTGGTGGCTCTCCCAATAACAAGACGATTACCTCTTATGTCGGCAGCGACATCAGTAATTTTACGGAGCAGTTCAGCCCTGGTATGCGATTTCTCTGCATGCACTAAAGACTTCATATGTCCCCACAAGTGATAATCCAGGGGATTTAAATCGGGCGAGCGAGGTGGCCAAGAAACTGCGGCCCCTCGTCCAATCCAACTCCCAGAAAAAGAGTTATTTAAATACTCAGTCACATTTCTACCACTGTGGGGCGGAGCACCATCATGCTGTTGTCTTCTCACTTGTAAAAACAAAAATGACAGTAATTTTTGCAAAGTTCAATCAAACTGACACAACTACTCCGTCAACAAACAAACAAACACCAGCTCATTAATCGGGCAGTACAACATGAATGTGGACTTTAATTATTGTAAGCCGTTGTTTTCATACGAACAGTATTAAATTCTTTGTTAAATAAAAGCAATTTTCCAACAATATTGTGGTTTTCGCCCACTAAAAATAAAACAAATCATATCTCGATATTGACCTGAGGAACACGCAGAAATATTTTGTTCCTTACCTCCCGGAACACCCTGTATATGCCTGACAATGCTCGCCCATCCGCATGTGCACATCCTTTTTTGCAGTTGTTATGGGAATGTCAACAGATGTATGTAGTTATCGCTAACTTTCGACACTATAATAAACAGAGTGTGACTTAATTGATGGCTAAAAATACAGGATATGATTCCTTAGCTCATTTTAGGAAGAAAAGTTAATATGAACATATGTCGAACCTCGTGACTGCAGGGTGTTAAAATTTAAAGGAAAAATTCGTTTTTCTTTCAAAACTTTAAAACCGTTCTAGATATTTTCATGAAATTTAACATGCATCTACTAAGCAACAATAGGCAATTTTTGATGTAGAATATTTTTTAATATATCGACCAGTGGTGTCCGTTCGGGATGTATACTGGAGATTTTTCAAAAAAGATATGGTACGCCATCGCTTATCTTCAAAAAAATATCTTTGAAATCCTCATTTATTCTGCATTAAATTTGACTTCTTGTCTTTTTTCCGTCCTATGCACCGTTTTCGCGTAAAAAAATAAAAACCATTTTCATGCATTTGTGGTATAACGAAATTATTTTGAACTAGTAGGCTGGTGCCCTATTTTGTTTTTAAAATAATGACATTTGATCGATTACGTTGCGGTCTTATTTTGATAAGTATCCATAAGCGTGATAGTTTTTTACATTTTTTACAATAAAGAGAAAATTAGTAAACTATGACAAGATTTACAAATTCCGAGTTAGCAGATATGCATTTTAACTATTGACTTGCTGTTGGGAATGCGCTTATGGTTAGGTGGATACTTCAAGAGCGGTATCGAAACCGTATCATTCCCGATGCCAGAATGTGTTCTAGAATATACTTTTTGATAATTTACTATACTATCCTATTCAATGGGTTCAAGCACTACTGCCGCGTGATTTTCCATTGCGTTTAAATTTCTGCCGATGGTTTTTAGAAAAACGTTCTTCTTTCCAGGAAGACTGGAAGGACTATCCCATCATCACTTTCTTGAAAATGATTTACCAATTTTGCTCGATGATGTACCCCTTTAATAAATGAAGAAATGTGGTACATGCAAGATGGTGATCCTGCACATTTTAGCATTAATGCTAGAGAATTTCGAGATGAAGCGTTTACGAATCGCTGAATAGAACGTGGAGCAGCTCAGTCTTGGCCTCCCAGGTCCCCTGATTTAAATATTTTAGACTACTTTTTGTGGGAGCACCTCATGACTTTAGTTTATACTTCACCAGCTCAAACTGTTGAGGAACTAAGGCAGAAAATTTTCCTTTCTTGCCAAACTATAAGAAATACTCCTGGAATTTTTCCACAGAAATTGTCTAAACTTCTTGCAAACCTGTTTTTTAATTTTCATGCATTGCAAAATGCTCATGTAATAGTTTGTATGTAAGATATGTTGACGGTTAATCTTTACTCTAGTAAAGTCAATTGATTAAAATATCCGAAATGGTTTCTATTTTTTACGCGGAAGCAATACAGCGGACAAGAAAAAATCAGGAGGTCAAATTTGTTGCAAAATATATGAACATACTAAAAATAATTTTTATTTTCGGAAAAAGCAATGGCGTACCATATTTTCTTTAAATCTACAGTATAGATACCATGCGGACGCCACTGGTAGAAATATTAAAAAATGTTCTACGTCAAAAGATTTCTACTGGTGTTTAGTAGATGAATGTCAAATTCCATGCAAACATCTACAACAGTATCACAGTTATGATAACAAAAGGACATATGTTCATATAAACTGTTCTTCCTAAAATGAGTTAAGGAATCATATCCTGTGTCATAATGAGGCACCAATTAAATTACACCCGAAGAATAACATTTTGTCAAGGAGACCCACCAAATCAACTATTTTTGATGACCACAGTTTAATTTCTGGTGACATAGCTCAGATTATTTTAAACATGTAACTACTAACTTGGCTAAATATTCTAGATTTACTGTGGAACAGAAACGCTGCCAAAGATCATATATACTAATATGTCTAAGGACCATATTCCAGAAACCTCTAGGAACATAAATTCATGCATTTTATTGTACTTACCGGATATCTAGATGAGGCAAGACTTGGATCGTTATCTCTGTACAACAACGTTGGTGGTGAGCCTTCTCCACTGCTTCTTTCTATGTACATACCCTGGTACTGATGGTGAGCTAAATACTGAGGACTTTCTGTGAATCCGTTGCCATATTGTGGAGCTTGCAAGCTGGCATAGTCTGTTTGCTGCTCGATTTCGCTTGGACCATTCACGCCGATTTGCACTGAAGCATAACTTATGTCATGTGTGTACTCTGGTTGCGCTTGATAGCCTTCACTGGCTGCTATCTCGGCGAATTGCTCCTGGGTAGCTTCTGGGTGTAAAATCTCATTATAGGCGGTAGCCTCCTGGGGTTCAGCTTTCTGGGAACCCGCAGGGCTAAGCTCTTGGGGCGTTGAAGAAGCTGTGTTCACCACTTCTTCAGTAGTTGCTTCAGGAGGTTGATCCTCCGTATTTTCTACGATGGTGCCTTCCCGCGTGATAAAGTGACGTCGGATTACAGTTGGTGGAGCAAGTTTCTCTTCCCCTTTGTCTCCCAGCGGTTGCTCGGGCGGTTTCTCTGGTTGTTGTTCTGTTTGGTCTACGACTTCTACTTTTGGCTTTATCTCTGTCGGAGATCTGGCTTGTTCTTCCTGCTTCTCCATTTTGCTGTGAAGAAATCAGAATTTCAGTTTTTACTGACTCATGTATTGAATTTGAGGAAGATGCTGGATCTGTTCAAGAAAATTTCAACAATTTTTATGCAAAAAGCATAAATGAAATAGCCGGCAAAATAGCAAAAGTTGCACCGACATTTCAAGAATTGCCACAGTTAAGTGATGGTCTGTCAAGCTTAAACACTATAAGCATTGATCAACTTAGAAAAAGGGTAATGGAACTTAAAAACAAGTCAACAGCGGATGATATTTGTAATGTTCAGTTTTTGAAAACGGCTTTTTGTGTACTCGGATACCCTTTGCTTCACTTGATCAATGCATCCCTTACAACAGGAAAAGTTCCAAAAGCAATAAAAACTAGTGTTATAGTGCCTATTCCAAAAGTGTCCTCACCAAATAAACCAGCACAATACCGACCCATTAACTTGTTATCAGTGATAGACAAAATCTTGGTAACCGTGGTTTGTGCGCAGTTACGGGAGTTTCTGGATGCAAGAAAACTGTTGTTTAAGGGACAGTCGGGATTTCGGGAAAAACACTCGTGCGAGTCGGCGCTGCTGTATGTGTGTTCGAAATGGCGTTCATACATTCATGACGGGAATATTGTGTATTCATCGACCTTCAACGTGCATTTGAGACTATTGATAGGAAAAGACTGATCCAGAAATTGCAGACCTATGGGATTACAGACAGTGCACTAAACTGGTTTATGAACTGCTTGAAAGACCGTTGTCATGTGACGAAGATTAATAACGTGGCGTCAAATTCAATTGATAGTGAAATTGGGGTACCTCAGGGTAGTGTGTTGGGCCCGCTTTTGTTCCTACTTTATATAAATTACTTGAACAGGGTTTTAGTAAATACATTTCTGAGCTTATTTGCAGACGATACATTGCTTTATGCGTACGGTAAGGATTTTAGACAAGTTGTAAATACTATGAACTCAATACTGGAAATTCTGTATAACTGGTTATGTGTGAATAGGCTTAAGTTGAATGTAGAAAAAACAAAATACATGGTTTTTGGGACAAAGCAGAACTGTAATACATTTTTAGAAAAGAAATTTTGTATTGAGATAGATAATATTCAAATTGAAAGTGCATCTAGTATGACGTATTTGGGCGTAGTTTTAGATCCTCAGCTAAATTTTTCATTGCATGTTGATTATGTTAGTAAAAAAATGGGAAAAAAATAGGATTTTTTAGGCGAATATCTGAAAGTCTTAGTCACTGGAGTCGTCTTCTTGTATATATTACCATCATATATCCACATTTTCATTATTGTTTTTCATTGTTGCTATCATGCAAAAAAACTGATATTCAAAGGCTGCAGTTACTACAAAATAAGGCTATGCGCACTATATTATTTTGTACACGTTATACGCCTATTAATTTAATGTTAAAAACCCTCGGATGGCTTTCAATACAGCAAAAGGTTGAAATGTCAAATGTCTTATTTATTTTTAAAACAAAAAATCATTTATTGCCTGAATACTTGCAGGAATATTTAATACCGAGTTCCGAGAGGCATGCATATAATATCAGGTCACGTAACACTTTTGACATAGAATTCGCTAGAACATCCCATATGCAAAAATGTCTTTTTAGTGATGGTTTGAGACTTTTTAATGCATTACCTACAGAAATTAGAGAAGCGACGTCTGTAAATATATTTATTCGTAAGGTTAAGCAATTTTATCTAGATAAAATGGCATAATATATGTACTTTCTGTGTTAAGATAACTGTATGTCATTATCTCGCATTTGCTATTGTTGCATTTACTGTGGTTGCAGTTACTATGATTTTAAGGGAATCTAGAATTACTGTTTTTTTGTTTATTACTGGAGTAAGACACTATTATAAACTATAGGAAGTAGCTTTAGGGCTAAGAATAATAAACATTTCATTTCATTTCATGTAAAGGGCCACTTATGGACAGATTGAAAATACTGGTCTTCTATTATCAAATTTTTCATATGGACAGATTGAAAATTCTGTTCGAATTCTGGTCGTAGAAATAACATAAAAAATGGCCTAGCCATCAATTAAGCTAGGTCTGCACTTCCTGTGAGTCGCTGTCGTCAGTTCATAACAGATCATGTGCCGAAAACAAGTTGACTCCTTTTAGAGAAAGGATAATTACGAAAATGTGTGACAGAGGAAATGGATCAAGTCATTGAGGATGCTGTATTATGCACAAAAAAGAAGATATAAGCAATCGCTGTAACTGGGCAGGCTAACACATACGAGGGCGGTTCAATAAGTACCCGTGTTAGAAATGAAGACATCATTTTTCCCAAAAAATTTCTTTTAACTTTTCATCATAATCCCCTTTTAGAAAGATGCACTTTTCCCAAAGTCCCTGCCATGTTTACTTGCTTTTATCTACTCGCATTTTTTCCCATCCAAAAACAAAAAGCGAATTACGCTGCTGCTCTTTTTCCATCTTAGCGAAAATCACGAAACAGTGTTACTAGAATGGCTGCCAAATCCAAAATGACCTATCAATCAGTCTGAAATTTATTGTGTCATCCTTTGATAGATGGCAGCACACGATGATAACATTACCTTCCCTCAGGAACGCCCTCTGTCGTCAAACACGGGTACTTATTGAACCGCCCTCGTAGTTTACATGTCCCCAAACGTTGTGTAAAGAGTGCTTCAAATTCGGCCCTCACCATTGGGATCTCGGAGACTGTAAGGGATACAAAGTCGCTTTAATGAGGACAAAGTTGTGAAACAAATGACTATCTGATAATTTCAAGGCCTACCTAGGAAATTCCCGCCTTTTTTAAATAACTAAGGTTTGTCAATGTCAATGTGTGACGTATTATATATTTTTGGAATTAGAATTAAGATCTCCATTGTTCTGTGTAAAAATCCAAGATGGCGTTCGTTAGAAAAAATAAAGTTGGCAATGTTAATGTGTAATTTATTTTGAAATCCCACTAAAATGAAAGTCAGGAAAAAATAAAAACGATTTTGTGAAAATTCGGCTTTTTCCGTCTCTCTCCGGGAGTGCTTTGAATTTCGAAAGTTTTCAAGAGGACTATCACAATAGACAACCTTGCCCGCATTTAAGGGACCTCGTATCTCTGGTAGTATGTGGGTCGAATTTGAAACACCCTGTATAACCTAGTGTTTACTTAGACGTGATTAACTAATTTGAATGAAAACCAGTTATTGTGACTATAAACTTGAAGTACTTTATTTTACGTAACATCGGTAGGTTTGGCACCGGAGGCCAAATAAGACGGCAAATTTTTAGTACGTTTGGTCACAATTCTGACACGTTTTAGTCAATTTACACAAAACAAATAATACACCTAAACCTTCCTCACGAACCCCTCTCTTCTTCAGGTACTTTATAGGTGCTTTTCGCTGCCCAGGGTGCGGGCGGGTTAAAATATTTCAGCTCTCAATCGCAAATGTGCGAGGAAATCTATGTGAAATATGGTGCGTAGAATTACCGGAGCTAGAAGAAAATATACTAACGCTCAAAAATTGAGATCTATCTGTGGCAGATTTTCAGAGACCGGCAGCTATATCCATATCATATGCAACGTGTTGCTCAGAGATTTGCCTTTAAAACAAGCTTTTTCCTATTGGTTACGCAGTAAAATGATGAGGAATCTTAGAAGCTTATTCTTCTCACAATTCAATATTACTCTCTTCAACAACAATCACATTTGGGCCGAAAACAAACGGCACGCTTTAATAGAACATAAGTCGTAAGAACAGTTTTCTTTTAATATTTTGTTTGCAATTGTCGCTGACCATCTCAATGGGCCTCATTATCTTCCACCTTCCACTTAATGAAGAAGAATACCGAAATCTTTCAGAATCTTTTTACTGGGGCTTTTAGAAAAGTCATGGAAAGATTCCGTTTGAAGTAAATACACGATGGGACTCCATCACACCTTAATGACGTGGCGCGGCAAATTTTTGGATGCAATTCACCATAATCGCTGGATTTGGCGAGCAGATCCACACCTATGCCCCCCTCGATGGCCCCATATGAATCCCTTAGATTATTTTCTCTGGGGACACCTTAAAGCGTTGGTATACAAAACTCTTATTGAAAGTGAAGAGGATTTACGGAATAGAATCATTAATTCATGTGACAGAACAAGAAATACGCCAGGTATTTTCAGAAGAGTTCGTAATTCAATGATGAGGCGGCTAGACAGTTGTATTGATGTCGAAGGCGGCCACTTAATTTAGTGAAATTGGTTGGTCTAGATGTTAATGTTATTTAATATTGTTGTTCCATAATTAGTAATAAAAAAATATAAAGTTATAATTTCCAAATGTAGCTATTCGCGGTTTCCTAGTGCGGTCCAGGGATATGCCATTAAGAGGAATTTTTTTACTCGAAAACTAAGCAAGATACGAAAAGAAAATTGGGAGACGAAACAGTTGTATTCCTACTTACTTAATCCAAAGAATATAATAAAAATTGCACAAACGTCAGTGGGGTATACTTTTTGTCACAAATGTTCGTTAATATCCCACTCTAGATGCCACTGGACTTAATAAATTTAATCAATTTAGGGCTAAATTAGCTATTTATGTTATAAATACCACCGCTAAATTACAACAAAATTAAATAAAGGATGTTTAAGAAATTTACGAAAACCCATTTTTTTTTTTTAAATTTTAACACTCTGTACCTTGAGAACGAAGAATTTGCAGACCTATGTTTATATGAACCTTTTATCTTAAAATTACTCAAATGCATATATGTATGTACATAGGTATTTTAATAACACCCCGTATAAATACGTTTTGAAAAAACAATCATTTTTCCTAAAGTGTTTCTGGTTTATAGGAAATGTAGATCAACATAAAAGAGCAACGACGACATTATTTGAAGATTTGATAATCAACATTTTGAATTTCTATGTACCTTTTAGAAAAAACATTTTTTCCCGGAAACGAAACGTTGTACGGAAATAAGTTTACTTGCAAATATCGCGAAGTAATTCAAAA